CACTGTGTTTGAACTGTAAAGATCTATGCAATTTCTTTTCTTCGGTAGAAATGAGTCTTCTGAAATATTTGTGTGCTGCCTTTTCGCTGATGGAGGTGAAGTCATCTAATACACATCAAAGCTCGCTTTAAATAGAGTCCAGCCGCCTGTCACGACAATTAGCGCTAACCTACCGGGGTCAGGTTCAGTTTCTAAGTTTTTCATTGGGTAAGCAAATAGGAATACTTTGAAGGCACAAGTAGGCAGATGGCCTAATATATTCGGGTTCCAGGCTCATTACGTGCACTTTAACAGTAAGCTATAAAGACAGCCATATAAACTTGCCTTACCCGACATCAGATCCAGACTGATCAGGAAAGCCTTACCTACCCTTTCATACTTCGTTTTTATTCAAGAGTTTTGGCAGATTCAGTCTAATGTAGTATATATAAGGGCGACATACAGAGCCTTTGAAACCCCTATTCACATATATATTCTGACAAATCATGCATATGTTTCGGAGCACTATATGTGCATTATATAAATCATCAATGTCTATCAAACATATACCAATCAAGTAATGTTTTATCAAGTCTTCTTTAAATGCCTCAAGAACACTTGAAGAAGGTCGTTTCTTCCAGTCTTCAGTGACTAGGTGGGAAAATAAATTGGTTTGTACTTCTTGTTTGGCATGGTGCTTCTTCAGTTTGCATTACTGTACTCGGGGATGTGTCGTTTTGGCCAATTTAAAAAAATCTGCCTTCTGAGGAGCAGAGTCTCCTCCTTTGACGAGTTTGAAGACCATTTTCAAAGAAGATTGTTTCATCAAACGTGAAGAACCCCCGGAGACAGAACTTCAGGAGCTCTGAAAGTCAGAGTTCGGGAACCTACTGAAGTTCTTTCGCCGGACTTACTTCACGTTTGACGGAACAATCTTTTTTAATACGAGCAGTTGAGGGGAACATCAATGGGTTCGTCGATTTCGAGACTCATAGTCGAGGCGGTCCTACGTCGATTAGAGTCGTTGGCCTTCCAACACCACAGACCGAAATTCTGGGCACGGTATATGGACGATACTTTCGTCGTCACTGAACGGGATCAGGTGCTCAGGTTCAAAGAGCGTCTCAACAGCATCTTCATGGACATAAAATTTACGATAGAGGTGGAAGCAAACAACCAGCTGGCCTTCTTCGATGTCCTCGTCCACCGCAAAGAGTGTAGTGTCCTAAAAAACAAAGTGTTTAGGAACAAGATCAACACCAACGGCAACTACCCAATCAGCCACAAACACAGTTTCGTAAGGATACTTTATCGGCGTGTTGAGGCACACTGCAATGATGTATACAACAAATTCATTCTGATTTGAACGCTCTTTCTGCGTGGATCTCAACATAACAGATGGAGTTCTCACCTTCTATGTGCCGATACATGTGCTTTTGGCCTGAAAGGCTGTCACAACATGTTATTTTTCAAGGTTGCCCAATGACTGA